CTGCAATCCCTCAGAATCACCTTCTCTCACAGGTAAGTTAATTTTTATCACTCAAAGAGTAATCTAAGTTAAAAAATAAACAAATTATTTTACTCAAAAAGCATTGGTGATTTTTGTACTTAAAAAAAAAGCAGTGAGTGGATCATGGCGATAGCATCAATTGTGTGGGTTTATTCTGTGATTTGTGGTCTTGTTTCTAGAAGCCTCTTATGTGAAAGAAGACAGACTTCCACTGAGACCAGATGATTCTGGTAAATGTTCTTCATATAGATGTATGTTTTACTTATCAAACTGTTGCAGTATAGGTTAATGTTTTACATTTTAATATATGCAGAACTGTGCTCAGAGAACATATCCCCCGTATGCACTTATCCTGGCCCTACCACATCTTCCCAGACTTTCTCAGGGAGAGTCCAGTGACTCCCCTGGATTCACATTTCTGTCTTATCACCTGTTGTAGCAACCCTGCCCCATTGTTTTGGGGATGTCCATCACTAAAACTAGCTCCCAAGGACAGAGAAATTGGTACTTCGCGAGTCATCAGTGTCCACACACTCAGTCCTTACAGGTCGTAGCTGTGCCTGCCCTTCACTACAGCCCTCCATGCAGCCTGATTCAATTTCTGATGAATATAGATGAATATGGGGCAACGCTGAGGGAAAGAACTCTTAGGCCCATAATTATCCCGTTTAGGAATAATGAACTGGACATCCCTGGAGAAGACTGGGACAGTCCTGTGAGACTCCTGGTCCCAGGAGAACAGGTCATACCCTTTCCCATGTGAAAACTATGCTTACACCTAATAGAGGAAGGAACCTAGGGATGCTCAGAGTATCACTCCTTAACATCTGTATTCTGGTAATCTAGTGGGAGTGCATGGCCATCCGGGAGCACTGTGACCAGCAGGAAGAAGTAGCCCCAGTGCTCTCTCCAATGGGGAGAAATATGGAGAAACCACATTTAGCACATGTTGATGCACAGAATGAGTGGAAAGCACAGGATCACCATTTATGTAAATGTCAGCGTATTTTACTGTGATCCCCAATGGGAGTGACCCCCAGGGCAATTGAAATGATAAGGAGACTTGGAGACAGGGTAGGGACTGATGTTGATGTAATAGAACATGGATTCTGGAATGTTTGCAGTCCTATGTCCTTCCCGATCAACTCTCTTTACATGTGTCCTCACCCTCACCACAGTGTAGGAACTGAGACAGCCAGGGATTTGAACAACTTCCCACTCAGAAGTGGTTCTGAGTTTACTGCCAGTGAACTCTGACTAAACTCCTTTTTTTGAAGTTCACGCCTTTGAATCTTGCCCCTGATGGCTTAGGGCAGTGGTCGGCAAACTCATTAGTCAACCGACCCAAATATCAACAGTACGACTGAAATTTCTTTTGAGAGCCAAATTTTTTAACCTTAAACTATACAGGTAGGTACATTGTTATTAACTTAATTAGGGTACTCCCACGGATTTGGAAGAGGCACTCTCAAGGGGCCAAAAAGCTTGCCAGCCCCAGTTTGCCAACCATGGGCTTAGGGAAGCTCAGGGACAAAGTGCACCTGGATGAAGAGAAAGCGATCAATGCTGACTCATGCAGTTATTTCCTACCAATGCTCATTCCTCTCCTTCAACCCTGCAAAGTCCTCCAGATGGATTTGCACCATGTGGTGCCCTTCATGGGGCCCATTGCGTTTGTCAGGTTCCCCTGGTGACCCCTGAATTTGGCTGCAGCCCCGTGATGTGCTTTGACCAATGAAGATTGTTGGAGTGAAGACTGTCACTACTAATACAAGAGTCTGGAACCAGAGACTGGCATGCTCTCTGTTCATTGCTACTAACACCTAGCAGGTACGTACATGGTGACTGCACCTTTATACTGATCCCTGGAGAACCAGGGAGGACATGTGGCTTGAACAAGAAAGAGACCTTCTTTAGTATAAGCCACTGAAGCTTTGGAGCTGTTTGTTACTCACCATAACATCTAGCCCAGTGGTTCTCAACCTGTGGGTCGAGACCCCTTTGGAGGTCGCCCGCCACGACCCTTTCACAGGGGTTGCCTAAGACCATCGGGAAACACATATGTAATTACATATTGTTTTTGTGATGAATCACTTTGTTTTCATTATGTTCAATTTGTAACAATGAAAATACATCCTGCATATCAGATATTTACAATACGATTCATAACAGTAGCAAAATTACAGTTATGAAGTTGCAACGAATATAGTGTTATGGCTGGGAGTCACCACAACATGAGGAACTGTATTAAAGGGTCACAGCATTAGGAAGGTTGAAAACCACTGATCTAGCTGGTCCTATTGGGTTTGCATTAACAATTCTGCTCTCCACAATGCAGCAGAGCCTGACATTATAAGTGAGAGCTCTTTTATTAGAAATGCTTGGGTTTGCCTTCCAGCCCTGCCTTTATTTAACTCTCCTATCAGGCAATTTACATAAAGCCTCTGAGCCTCAATTTGCTCTTCATAAAATCTCAGGTTGCAGAGAGGACTAAATGACATAATAATGCATTTAAAGCATTGAATTCCAGGTCTGGCACATGCAGTCTCTTAATAATGTGATACATTTATATTAAACATAAAAAATCTGACAGCTGGAATACCTCAGATGTTTCATCATCTTTTCATGCACAGAAAGGTTTCTGGTTAAATTCTTCATTAGGCACAAGCCCGGTGTTCTGGCTGGATTCCAGTGGGGGGCGAGGGTGAGGGGTTAACAGGAGGCAGCTGATGCATATTTCTCTCTTTTCTCTCCCATCGTATCTCTCAAAAATCAACTTAACCAAAAAATCAGTTGGAGACAACTAACCCAGGAAACTACCACAAGCCACACCATCCGAATGTTGTCATTTCCCAGAAACACTCTGGCTTCCAAAGACCAAGATTCACAATGGTCAGTGTGTGACTGGGATCATATTCACACCTGGGAGTACTGTAAAGGTATATTACCCAAAGGGCTATGCCCATAATGATGGCTGGATTTAGCCAATGAAAGCCCAGGAGAGGCATATTATCCAGGTGTACATGGGTGAGGATGGGACCTCCTGCATCTACCTGGTGCTCATGTTGACCTCTTTGGTATGTTCAGAGAGACTGAGGCTTCCCAGCGCCAGTTCTCCAGTAGGACAAGGCATCAGAGGCAGTATCTCCCTATGCAGTTGTGTGTCTGAGGTTTGCTGAGCCCCAACACGCCAGAATTTGGGCTTTTGTGACTCTGGGATTTCGCTCTGCTTACAGAGTTCGACGCAGCCTCACTGAATTTAACCCTTCAGCCTGGGGTGTGGACACCTCTGGGATCCTGCAGTCCAGGTCGCTCTGCCAGGAACAGTGAGTAGCTCGTGTGTGACAAAATGTGTGATGGGGGAAAGAGGTTCATACGCTGCAATACCTCCGTGTGAGGACGTGATGGTGTGACCGAACCAGGAGAATTTTGGAAACCCAGGACTTGTTTTGTGTCTAAAGGAACAAAGAAAATGAGGCAAAGTTTTGCATGAGGAGTTTCACTTTCATTCTCAGGAAACTGGGGACATGAATGGTCCTGACCGAAAGAGGGACATTGTGTGAGGTAGTTCTTTAAAGTTTTCCCAAAGCAGCTCAGAAGAGGAACAGACTAGAAGATAGATGATATCAGTTGGGGACAGGAGGCAAAAGTCCTATAAGAGATAAGGTAACTGGCAAGAGTGTGCACTGAGGACTGAGTCTTGAAGTAATGTGGTCATCTCCAGGATACATGGGCCTATTGACTGGAAGAAGGTACTAAGCAGTCTGAGCCCATGGATCCTGGGGTTGGTGGCCAGAGTCTCAACAGATCTTTCTCTGAACACAGATTGCTGCCCATGCAGAGTGGTTTAAGGGTGCCGTTTTGTGGAACTGATATCAGGGCCTCACACTCTTACAACTTCTGAGATAGTGGTATCCTGGGATTGTCTTGCCTCTCTTCTAGCCCTTATATCTCTGGACCTTAATAAGACACCAAGCCCAGAATCCTAAGTACATGTCTAAGGTTGTATGAAATGGTCCCTGTTTTTGGCAAACAGTGGAATCAGATGTGAGAAGACCTTCCAGTCAGAGGTTCCTATATGAGCAAAAGCTTAGAGTGAAGAGTGAGCTCATTCAGGAACCAAGAGGCGACCTTTAAAAAAACACATTTTTATTGTTTCCAGAGAGTAAGGGAGAAGGAGAAATAGAAACAAGAATGATCAGAGAGAACCATTGGTGAGCT